AATTTCAAGTTTTTTATGCTTTTTTTAAGGGCAATCACAAGAGTAAATATGAAACAAATGCTGTCAGGTTAAAATGATGTGGAACATGATTCTCATTTTTTCCATTATTATTTATTAAAGCAAGCATCAAATGCTGAAGGCACTGATTGTTGGAACATGAGAGCTGGAAACCATCTTGATGATTGTCTCATGCAATTCTCTACATTTCTCTGTGGAAAAGTAACACAGAGTACCTGTTCTCCACACTCTATTCACCCTCTGTCCCTAAGAGCAGTCTTCTCAACACACAGCTGAAAATGGCAGGTATCTTCTGCCATGGGGCACAGCCCTTCCTCCAGTACTGGCCGCTCTTGCTGTGTCCAGACTTCAGTACCCCACTGCCAATTGCTGTCATTCTGCGATGTCAAACTGGCACCTTACACTTAATGTGGCTTGTGCTGAGCTTTGTTTTCTCCTCCAAACCTGTTCTTCCCTAAGTTATTGACTAGACTCTTTATTGTGCTATTGGTTCATTTCTTTCTTCATCTAAACATCCAACCTGTTGGCAATCGAGTTAGCTTTACCTGGAAGTCAGACCACCAGCCTGTCCACATTTGTCTATCCACCCTTGGCTGTCAGTCGCCTCCTAATTCTTTGCCTCTCCTGCTTCCACTGTGCTCAGAATGCACCTTTTCTATTATAAGGAAAGCTCAGGTCTTCTCATCTCCTGTCTCTGCTTGTGGCACCCATGGCTTCCTGTTGTATTTGGGGCAAATGCACAGGTGAAGCCCTGCCTGCTGTCCACTCTGGCCCCTCCTGCGTGCAGCCACTCTCTCCCCCACCTAGACCTGCTCCTGACCCCAGACTGATGACTCCAGGGGAGCCCCTCTCCTGATCTCAGCCTCCTGCACAGCTGCCAGTCCACCCTCCTCTCTCAAGGGCCTGTGGGCACCTCCCATCTGCCCCACTCCCTGCCCTCCTGAGTCTGTACATGGCAACTTGATTTTTTAGCTGCATGGCTACCTCCATTCCCCCCCCCCCCGCTTTTTAAAAAATTTCAGGTTAATTTGAGGGCACAAAGAAATAGGTTACAATGTTTGCACTTGTTAGGTAGAGTCCCTCTTAAAAGAGTTTCGTCTCCTTTCTTGGACACCCCACATCCAGTCCAACAGCATACTCATGTGCTGAAGTAGGCCACGTCCTCTTTCCCCTATGGCTATCCGGCCTGAGCCACCATCCTCTTTGGTATCACTGCAGTGGCCGCTTACAATGACAGCTCCCTGCTTCTGCCCTGGCCTCTTTGCCTTCTAGTTTCACTGTAGCAGGGATGATCTCTGAAAACCTGGGTCCAGGCTCGGGACCTGTGGCTCAAGTGGCTAAGGCACCAGTCACATACACCTAAGGTGGTGGGTTCCAATCCAGCCCGGGCCCGCCAAAACAACAATGATGGCTGCAACCAAAAAAAAAAAAAAACAGCCAGGTGCTGTGGCGGGCGTCTGTGGTCCCAGCTACTTGGGAGGCGGAGGCAAGAGACTTGCTTCAGCCCAGGAGTTAGAGGTTGCTGTGAGCTGTGATGCCATGGCACTCTACCCAGGGGGACAGCTTGAGGCTCTGTCTCAAAAAAAAAAAAAAAAAAAAAGGAAAGAAAGAAAAAATGAAAACCTGGGTCCAGTCATAAGATGCCTCTGCTGAAAATCCTCCCAAGATGGTGGCACCCGCAGCTCAGTGGGTAGGGTGTTGGCCACATACACTGAGACTGGCAGGTTCAAACCCGGCCCGGGCCAGCTAAAGTCAACAATGACAACTGCAACAACAACAACATAAAAAATAGCCAGGCATTTTTTTATGACAAGAGAATTGCTTAAGCCCAAGGGATTGAGGTTGCTGCGAGCTGTGACACCACAGTACTCTACCGAGGGTGACATAGTGAGACTGTCTCAAAAACAAACAAACAAAAATCTCCCCAAGGTTTCCCCTTTTGTTCAACCAAAAAGCCAAAATCCCCACCGAGATCCACAAGGCCCGGCCTGCCCTCACTCTGAGACATGTCTCTGCCCTCCCACTCAGCTCTGGCTGCCTGGGCCCCTTGATGGGGACTCCTGCATCCTCCTTCTTCCCTGGATGTCTCCCAGATGTCTGCACAGCCTGTGACCCGAGGCCTCTGCCCAGCACTGTCAGGGAGGCCCTTTCTGACCTATCTGCGGTTGCAGGAGCACAGCCCTCTTGGCTCCCGTCCCATACTTTTTCATTTCCTGAGCCTTCTCTGTTGGGATTGCCACAGGAGGACTTGGTGTGTTTCCTGAGTGTCCTCACCACCTGACACTCAGGGCCGTGGAATTAGGGGTTTATGAATGAACTCCAGGAGGAGGCCCTACCTGTTTCTTGAGCATCTTGAGATTTCTCCTTTTCTGCAGAGCTGTTCCTTTCGCCTGGAAGGTTCTTCTTGTTAGGTTCCAAACTCAAGTTCTCTTCTTTGGAAAGGATCCCTTCATCTCTCCTGAAACTCCTGGAGAATCCACTCTTGTATTCTTGAGGGTCTCATGATTTCTTGCTTAGTTGCTATGTCTCCACAAGTATGTCTGTCATCCTCCACGATTCCCGTTGTATCCCAGGGCCTAGAGCAGTGGTGATTTTGGTCACACAGTAAGTGATAAAAATGTATTTGTTGAGCAGGGACGATTACAGTGATTTGCCTGGGGCCCAGCAGCCACATCAGACCCTTGCCCTGGCCTGGGCAGTCTGGATCTGAGGGTTTAGCTGAGGGAAGGCATCTGAGTTCAAAGCCTCTGCAAGGTTGGATGGATCACACAGTGTGCAGACCTGCTAGGAGGTGGGTTGAGGCCCTACAGAAATACTGAATTTGGATTGGTAAAGAGCAGGTGAGGAAAGATTCCAGGTTCAAGGAGCAGTGTGACTCACAGAATCTTAGAACCTTACAGTGGAATGTAGATGGGATGAGCAAGGCCTGTTCTGAGGAGGGTAAGGAGACCGCTCGCCCTGGGGCTGGGCGGGGACTAGGGAGGGGCAGAATTAAATTAGCAAGTTGGTGCCAGTTCCCCTCAGGGCCTCAAGGGACTCTGCCTGAGGAGTCAGCATCTGCCTCTGTCAGCAACGGGGGACTCCTGGAAGCTCCAGGGTAAGGACATGAAATGAAGTGGTCACCTAGTTACTTTGGCAACAGTGAGGAGACTGGGAGGCCCACTGGGAGGCTCTGCGGCAGACCCAGGAGGACGAGGAGCCTGTGGGCTCAGGTACAGGGACCAGGGGAGCGGTGACCCTTCACTTGCTGTTCATATTCACTCCCTGCGGGAGCTGATTCCTTTCCCTGAAAGTGCAGATAGTTCAGCCAGACTTTGCTTTGATTTGGGCCTTCACAGATCAAAATTGTCCCCCTGACACTGGGGGTGGGGACATGGGAAGACTCCAAATGTGGCCTGGATTATTTTCTTTGTTCCTGTCACTGTGCCCCCACAATGGAGTCTGGGAAACGTTATGGACAGCAGCAGAGCGGCTGTAGAGATGTGAGAGCCAAGCTGGGGTGCAGGAGGTGAAGGCCAGCCCCAGAGAGGGTGGTGGGGAAGACATAGGTGATTTGAGCCAAGCTCGGGAAATAACTTGTTAGAAGGCACGTGGAGGAGACCAGGCCAGGGCCAAACTCAGACATGGCTTTACAGGCAAGAAATTCCTGCTTCTCCTCTCTGCACTTGTCAAGTAGGAGGCCAACAGTGTGGCTGTACTCCATCTGTGGGGTCTCACTGCACAAGTGGGGAACTCTCATCGCCTTTTTTCCAGGCCAGAGATGTTTTCCCGCCACACCTTTCCCCAGCCTCCTTCTCACACCCCATGAATATGGAGGGGAGGCTCTGCCCCACAGTCTGGCACGCTCTCCTGGCCTTCCCCTCCCTAGCAGCCAACCTTGACTTCCCGGGCTCTGTCTGGGTAGTAACCACTCTCTCAGAGATACAGCGTTTAAGGGATATTTTGGTTCTCGTGGTTTCCAAGGGAGGGAAAAAGAAACTCAAAATTCCTGTAAACCACAGCCTGCCTTTGCTACAGGGGAACAGTCTTCCTTTTCATAAAGAAGTAAAAGAAAGAAAGAAAAAAACATTCCTTATTTAGGGGAGTAAGGAAAAGCAGTGAAGATCACAAAAAGGAAACAGTCTACTTGTGTCCAAGAACTAAATCTTAAAGTAGGTGGGGCTGTGAAGAGGAGGAGGGCAGATCGTAGAGAAAGCGTAGAATCGCCCTTTCCCCAGTCTCCCCAAACCAGCTGTGAGCTCCCAGAGTAAGATTTGGAAATGGGAGCGCTGGTGTGCGGTGGCTCCCGTGGACTCCAGCGGCTTCCAAGAGGAAGCTCCTAACCCGGGGTTCCACGAGACCTCCCGTCCAGGACCCAGCAGGTCTGGCCCTGGGAGAGCGCTCGGGCTGCGCGAGACCGCGGGACCCTTCTCCCGCAGCCTGCAGTTCCCTCTCACCTACCCGCGGCCGCGCGCGTTTGCAACGTTTGGAAAGAGAACTGATGCTTCTGGGAAACGAAACTAAACCCCTCCCCTCGAAAGTTTCCATCCAGCTCGCCTCTTTCTGTTCCGCGTGGTCCGCGGGGTCCGAGGCGGGAGCGGGACGCGGGCGGGGCCGGCGGGCGGCAAGAGG